GTTGGGCTTTATCAATGGGGAATGCTTGAAGCCATCATCAACTTCTCCAAATTATCGCTAATGGAAAAGATGTGATGCCATGGTTACTTCATGGATCCTCAACTCTCTAAGCAAGGACATTGCTGATAGTGTCGAATACGTTTTTGATTCACAGGAATTGTGGAGTGAGCTAAAGGATCGATATGATCAAACAAATGGTGCAAGATTATATCAGATCCAGAAGGAGATTAACAATCTAAGTCAGGGATCTCTAGATATCACTTCCTACTACACCAAGATGAAGAAACTTTGGGAGAAACTGAACAACTTGTGTGTAAAGAATCAATGCAGTTGTTTATGCACTTGTGGTGCCAAGGATACTGTATACAAAGCAGAACAAGATAGACGACTAATTCAATTTCTTATGGGGCTTAATGAAGCATATACCATCATTCGCGGCAGCATACTCATGATGAAACCATTACCTTCCATGGGTCAAGCATTTGCTCTCCTAATTCAGGAGGAGAAGCAGCGAGAATTTAAGCCTAACAGCCAATTTTTCGCAGATCCACCTTCCATGTGTGCTAGCTCTTCAATTGGACAGTCACGACAAAATGGAGGCAACTCAGGTGGACGAGGCTTCCAGACTAACTACACACAAAACACTGGGGGAAGAGGAACAAGACCTTTCTGTGAATATTGTAGGAGATTGGGACATATAAAAGATAAGTGTTACAAGTTACATGGTTACCCTGAGAAGCCAGGATCTAGTACCTCCAACTCAAACTTTACTCCAAGTTACAGAAAGTATAAGGGAAAAGGAACTGCAGCAAATGTTCATGGAGAATGCTCGAGTGAAAGAGAAGATATTTCTTCTCAAAATGGATCTCAAAATGGATCTCTAAATAACTTGTCAACAGAACAATATACTAAACTTGATCAACTTGCTGCAAACTTTCCAAGGAGAGGGAGGAAATATGAAGGATCCTTTCACTACATCTGCATCAACATCATCTCACAATGGAGCTGCTGCCAACTTTGCAGGTATAATTGCTTGTAATTCTTCAATTGATCATGGCAAACACTCATGTGGTTGTTTCAAAACAAAAACTAACTTGTGGATACTAGATTCTGGAGCAACACATCATATTACTTTTGATAAGAGTTACCTCTCCAAACTCATCACAATACCATATCCTATACTTGTAAACTTACCTAATGGATACAAAGTTAAGGTAACATTAAGTAGGAGAAACAATATTGACTTCTGGGATCACACTCAACAATGTACTCTTCATACCTGCCTTTCATTACAATCTTATCTCTATCAGTGCCTTGAAAGATCACCTCAAATGTACTGCATTCTTTACTAATTCTTCATGTCTATTGCAGGCCCCTTCACTGAGGAGGCCTCTGAAAATTGGTAGAATACATGATGGTTTGTATCTACTATGTTCTCAATGTCTGCAAAAGAAAAATCCTTCTATTTCTCATTTCTTTGCAGAAAATAAAAACCTTTGTTCTCATTCCCATTCTTGCACTTCTGATGTAACAAAGATGTTTGAAGATAATAGAAATAACATTTCCAATTCTTCTGTGTCTCATGCTAATTCTGTTGTTAATCCTTTTATGTCTCATGAAAATACTACAAACTTGTTATGGCATTATAGATTAGGACATGTTCCTTTCGTAAAAATGAAGAAATTAACCTCTATACCTGCAAAATTCTCACCAAAGCAACCTTTCCTTTGTCCAATTTGTCCTATGGCTAGGCAATCCAGGCTACCATTTTCGAATAGCACCACTACTTCACCAAATTGTTTTGATCTGATGCATATAGATCTCTGGGGACCATATAATATCAAAACACATGATAACTACAAATATTTTCTTACCTTAGTTGATGATCACAGTAGGGCAACCTGGACACATCTGTTAAGTTGCAAAAGTAATGCCCTTAGTTT